CAGAGATTTAGAACAATATAAGCAGCACGCAAAGTACAGCATGAATAAATTAGAAACGTAGATATTGAACTAAAACGTATGATGAATTTTTATTTTTAGCAGTTATAAAGAATATAAAATCACATTTTAAAAAAATATATAAATTGAATGTCGAAAATGCATCTTTCCAAATAGTTAGAACTAATTTTACCCGGTTAATTCAGTCCAAATATCAATTTTTTAACATTATATATATAATAAATAAAAATTTTATATATTTTTATAAAAAAATAATAAATTGGTAGTGAAGGCTTTCAAAACCAAAACGAATCAGAATTTTTTTAAACAATATTTTTTGGCTTACTAGGAAGTAGATTTTTTCATCTTTTCATGTATCTTATGCCACTTAATAGATCTTCATATTATTTTTTATCCCATGTAAAAAAATAAATAAATTGACTGATATGTAATAAACTTGAAATGCATGCACAATAAAGGCAGAAATCCGTATTAAACAGAATTAAGTAAATTACTTAAAATATTTGTTTCTAGATTTCTATGGCCATCACTAAAAGCAAATTTTATTACAATTAATTTATTATCTTTTGACTATATAAACTATAAAAATTTAGCATTTAATTGGCATCATTTCCTGGTTTTATGTTTCCCGTGTCCTTCTGGAAGATATTCCATGGAATATTTTGAGATATTGTTCAAGTCTTCAAAGCTGACAAAACTTGATCTGTTTTATTGTTAAGGTTTCGTAATATAAAAAAAGTTCAGTAGAGGAAAAAAGAGGGGATTTGTATATGGTGGGGTGAACGCCGGTATACTGATTCATTGGTATTTTATCGCTCAGTTTCGACTAAACTAACACAACAGTTGCATAAAAACGCCGATGGAAGATCTGAAGACGTACTGCGACCTGGGGCCGAGGAGGTGCCATCAGGTCGACCATACCAGGATGCCGTTTTACCACGGTGACGACTTCAGGCCGTTCCACAGCTACAACCTCAGGTCCACGGGGGAAGAAGCGACCGTGAACGCTTCAGGCCTCACCAGGAAGAAACCTCGGAAGAAGCCGGGCAGGAAGCGCAACAGCGATTTCGGCCTGAGCCACGAAGAGAAGAAAAAACTCGCGGTGAAGAGGGAGAAGAATAAGCTCGCGGCAGCCAGGTGCAGGCAGAGGAGGGTCGAACGGGCCCATCTACTCGAAGACCACGCTTCCAGGCTGGAACACGAACAGGTCGCGCTCAGAAACGAGATCAGGATGCTCTCAAAAGAAAAGGAATATTTAGAAGCGGCCTGTCATCACCGCCCTTGCTTCCTGGAACACGACCGAAGCTTCTACGAAAACGATCTGACCCAAGAAGAAAGAGAGAGCGAAGAGGAAAACCTCTTCCAGTTCAACCACTGCATCGACTATTATCACGAAGAAGACTCTGAACTTTCGTACGTCACCCTTTGATGTAATGCGTTTTCATAGTAAATATATAAGCTATATGTACAATTTTAAACAATTTATTTATATTTGTATTGTATAACCTTTCAGTACATAGGTCAAAACTGCACATCGCTGGAAACCCTTTTTATCCTAGAAATGTCCGATAAGTTTAATATTAATACGATTAAATTCATTAGGGTTCGGGGTTCGGTTGACAGAATTTTTCAATTAATTAATCTTTGTGAAAGGTATTCGCTGAGATAAAAAAGCTAGTGTCTCTAACGAGATTCGAACCCACGACCGTCGGCTCTATACGCCGGTCCTCTAACCACTTGAGCTTCGATCCACTCGGACACTGACTTCTCATCTCAACCCAACCATTCGAATTTTCCCTTCTTTTTGCCATTTTTCAAATGTGTAATCTATTTGATTCTCGGCGACAAATGAAATGGCCAAGAAGAGCTTTATGAAGATACACTTCATTTAACTTATTAAATTCATTAGGTTTCGTGGTGGGATTGACCAAATAACATCTTTCAATTAATTAATGTAAGATATTGGTTGAGATAAAAACGTGAGCGTCACGAGGATCGACGTCACGAGAGCTCAAGTGGTAGAGCATCGGCGTGTTTAGCCGAGGGTCGTGGGTTCGAATCCCGCTCGTGACACTGCCTTTTTTATCTCAACCAGTCAAACAACAAAACCTAACAAATGTGTATGAGTTTTGAAAAATGCAACCCCAACGTAGATAAATAAAAGAAGAACATATTTTATTATGCCATTATTATGCAGATTGATACTTTTAACTGCACTTCAGATTAAATTAAAACTGTAACTGATCGCTGTGATAATTGCACAATTATCATTGTTTGTCAGCAATAAAAGAACAGTAATTTACCATTTTAATACGTTTCTTAGAACGACATAACCGACTGAGCTGAACTATCTGCTTGGCTTCGGGTTACATCACCCAAGAAGACTTCTTTGTGTTAATAGTGTACGAAAGCTTTATTCTAAACAGTATTTTATTTTCCAGACGGTGCCCTTTTATATTCTGCAGTTTTTTTAAGTGGAAAACTATTTTAAAGACTTTCAGTGTGACACTGTTCTTAAAGTTTTTGCGAGGGCTTTTCTGTTAGCATCTGAACTTTTACAAACTTGGAAAAAATACCCTGAAGCAGTCACACTTATAAAATATCAATCTGAGAGAATTTATACCGAATATTTAACTCCAAAACGTATCCGAGAAATTTTGAAAACTTTTGATCGTCGTAATTGAACCGAAAAATCCTTCCGAGCAAAATTTCAAGTTTATCGTACAATCGAGTTCTTTGTTTGTCATTCTTTGACAGGAAAAACAAATCGAAATTTTAAATCTAAATGACTCGGAAGTGACTTTCAGGCGACGTGAACCCAATCGGCTCACTCATCACTGCTGATATCCCCCTTAAAAAATCCACTTTTATAGGTCGCCGATAGTATTTTGATAAGTCCAGCTTTAGAAAAGAAACGATGGAATGAATCAGAGATAAGGTAATATAAAACTGAGGGGCTTTTTCGTTCAAATTAAAAAAAAAAAAATTCTTCATGAAAAGACCTCGCCGTAAGACAAGTAAATTCATTTTATAAAAATAAGGGACAGATTAAATAGAAAATAATTAAACCTGATTATATGATGTACTGTAATGGTCCATCGAAGATATTACTTAAATATTATAGAATTTTTTTATGATTGTCCATATTTGAGAACGATTCGGGGAGATAATCTGTTTGCGTTTCCCTGGGAAAACATTTCCACCAGGAAGTGCCCAATTTGTCTTTTTTTATTTTTATTAAAACGTCCTCTGATGACAGCGTGAAATCGCGTGTAGGCAAGAACAAACGTCGAGAATGTGCGGACCAGGGGTCGTCGGACGCTCAAGCCAAATTGCGGTCCATGAAACCAAACATCACGATTATTATTATTTTTTATTTTTTTAAAGTTCAAATGGTTATGTTTTGATGACTGTTATATAAAAAAGTGCCACATTTGTTTTCCATAAATATTACATTTTGCTCATTCTGTAGTGAAAAGGCACATCAAAGAAGTACAAGAACATGGACATCACATGGGGTCGGTTGATCTCGCTGTTTTTCCTTGAACAAAAATCCCAGTTTTTGAACTTTTCTTCGCCTTAGTTACGAATCAAGGGAAAAATGGTAATTTTCATTAATGCAAAGAATCTGAAGATTATAGGCCTGCTTGGATAGGATAGTTTGAAAACACTTGAAAAAAAAATCCTTCAGAATGATTATTGAATAATTCTAACCTTTTAACACCTAATTTATTGGTTTTTACGCATACGATTATGACTTTTTACGTTGGTGGCTGCTGTCCAGGGTCAGACCTTGACCTTATCTGTCTCAACGTTGAAATTTCCAAGGGTTGGATTAGCCCCAATCAGCCTTCAACATATGCAGTTGTTAGACCTAGACATTCATTCTTAAATATATTCTTCCTATTTACATACCATTCACTCAATACTATAACCACATTCACTCTAATAAATACATTCACGCTCAATAAACAAAACATGGCAAGTAGTATATAGAACAAAACCGCCCTTGAATCCTGTTCAATCGAATCAGGGGCCCGAAGGCTCGCTGCTGTGCGCAATCACAATCATCATCAATATAAGTTTTGCTGATTTTGTAGGGAAAAGGTCAAAGAAAAGGGACATCACATGGGGTCGCTTGTTCTCGCTGTTCTATTAATTCATATTGTAAATAAGTAGAATTTTAATTTAATCTGCATTTTTGTTTTGCCTAGTTGAAGGTTAATATTCTGTAATATAATTTTTTATTGTATGTTTATTATTTCTCTCGCGATGTTTTGATCTTTATGGTTGTTAATGATTGACGATTAAGATGCAGTTTTTCCCTCCAGTAACAGCTGTTTCTTTTATAATTTTTTCTTAACAGATAGGTTTGTTGGATGTCGTTTTATTTAGCGGTTCTTAGTTGTTTTGTTTCTGTTGTTTTCTGAAGTGAGAGTCGTCTGGGATGGTCTGCACCGAGCTCAGCATGTTGGCCGGCTACCACGATGTGTTCAAACTCGCCTTTTCCTCGAGATATTTATTAGATTTCGTCTCCAGTAAGCCTTATCTTGTTTACCCGATGGAGGCATTCTGCCATTGTTTACATCTCAGGTTTTCACCGAAGATTTTTTTATTTTATTTTACTTTTTGTATTCCTACAAACCTTAAGAGTTTCCCTTATCTCCGCGGCTTTACACAAATAAAAGCAGTGTCAGCGGTCGGACATTGGAAACGCTGAAAACAGAATAATATCGCATAGGTTTCACGTCTGTATTAAAAGAGAAAAATCCTTGAAAATTATTAATTCCCTTGAAAAAGTGAAAATGTTTTCAAAATCGCTTTATAAAATGTAATTTTGAGAATAAGTGCAAACATTTTAAAGGAAGTCTATATTGTCTTGTCCATGAAATTGTTGATAACTTGTAAAACTTTTTTTTGCACAACTTTGAATCAATTACAATTACAAAAAAAAAATGTTTGTAATAAATTAATTGGTTTAGGAGGAACGGATAGAATGATGGCGCCGAGTGTTGGTCAAAGGGCCCCTCCGACGATAGACGATCAGTCAAATGGGCAGGTCAACGGCGAAGCGAGGTGAATTTCATGTCAAAACAATTCAATCTCAATTAAACACGAATGATCAAAACTGATTTTTTCAGCGTATCCGACGGCGAGAGTTACGAAAGTTACGGCCAGATGGACATCTACAACTCGAGCCCGAATCAAAGGTAAAAGAAACAATAGACTCAGCTCAGGACGAAAAGTCCTTTCTTTTATGGGAATGGCCATAGGATATTTTATACAATGCGATGTCGACACGGCAGTTTTATTGTGAAACGTCGGTACGCAAGTCGTTGAACCGTTTGATCGATCTCTGGTCCGCATGTTCTCGCTTTTCGGATCAACGCCTTTTATAAGTCTCGAAGTACTTACCGAATGTTTTCTTATTAAAGCCCTGTGAATACCTCCCAATATCAAACACAATAACAAGTCAACACGTGATCAAAGCAATAAATTTTAAATTTAACCATATGTTGCTTTTTGTCAAATATTTTAAAATATAAACTTGATTTTTTGTTCATCTCTTCAATATTTTCAACAATCAACAAAAACTGAAATTCTTACTTGGTTTAAAATATAAATATAGTCTAAAAATCCAATAATTACCAGTTAATTTACCTTCTAGATCTTATAATTTATTATTTGCCTGTTAATTTTTTTCATAAAATTTTGATACACAAAATAGAAATGTAGTCTAAAAACCCAATAATTACGAATTAATTTACCTTCTTGACCGTATAATTTATTATTTGCCTGTTAATTTTTTCATAAAATTTTGATACACAAAATAGAAATGTAGTCTAAAAACCCAATAATTACTAATTAATTTACATTCTTGACCTTATAATTTATTATTTGCTTGCTAATTTTTTCATAAAATTTTGATACACAATATAGAAATGTAGTCTAAAAACCCAATAATTACAAATTAATTTACCTTCTTGACCGTATAATTTATTATTTGCCTGTTAATTTTTTCATAAAATTTTGATACACAAAATAGAAATGTAGACTAAAAACTTAATAATTATCAATTAATTTACCTTCTTGACGTTATAATTTATTATTTGCTTGTTAATTTTTTCACAAAATTTTGATACACAAAATAGAAATATAGTCTAAAAACCCAATAATTACCAATTATTTTACCTTCATCTTCTAATTTATTATTTGCCTGTTAATTTTTTCACAAAATTTTGATACACAATATAGAAATGTAGTCTAAAAACCCAATAATTACCAATTAATTTACCTTCTTCATCTTATAATTTATTATTTGCCTGTTAATTTTTTCATAAAATTTTGATACACAAAATAGAAATATAGTCTAAAAACCCAATAATTACCAATTATTTTACCTTCATCTTCTAATTTATTACTTGCCTGTTAATTTTTTCACAAAATTTTGATACACAAAATAGAAATGTAGTCTAAAAACTCAATAATTATCAATTAATTTACCTTCTTGACCTTATAATTTATTATTTGCATGTAAATTTTTTCACAATATTTTGATACACAATATAGAAATGTAGTCTAAAACCCAATAATTACCAATTATTTTACCTTCTTCATCTTACAATTTATTATTTGCCTGTTAATTTTTCTACAAAATTTTGATACACAAAATAGAAATGTAGTCTAAAAACTCAATAATTATCAATTAATTTACCTTCTTGACCTTATAATTTATTATTTGCCTGTTAATTTTTTCACAAAATTTTGATAAACAAAATAGAAATGTAGTCTAAAAACCCATTAATTACAAATTAATTTACCTTCTTGATCTTATAATTTATTATTTGCCTGTTAATTTTTTCATAAAATTTTGATATACAATATAGAAATGTAGTCTGAAAACCCAATAATTACCAATTAATTTACATTCTTGATTTTGTAATTTATTATTTGCTTATTAATTTTTTCATAAAATTTTGATACACAATATAGAAATATAGTCTAACAACCCAATAATTACCAATTAATTTACCTTCTTGATCTTATTATTTTTTATTTGCTTGTTAATTTTTTTCATAAAATTTTTATACACTGGAATATTTTGGACAGAAGCTCAAATGGAAGTACCATTTTGTGCCATAAATTAGTAATTACTATTCAGTGTTAATAGTTTCGGCAATAGTCAACAGTTAGTCACCCTGGTGACTACTGGGGTGAGTAACGGTGTAAAAGACAGATTTGCCTTTTTTTAAACAATAAAGCAAGCTGATAGAAAAGAAAAATCTATTGTTTTCTTTACCTTTCCCCATACAGTTTATTATTAAATATTATTTTTCATATATGAGGTTTGACATTTGCCGAAAAGGCTCGTTGGTTAGAAAATATTTTAACATGCATTTCTTCGGAGAGGTTAACGCATAAATTAATTTTAAAAAAATACTTTCTTTAATGGTCAAAATTTAAATGATCAATAATGCTGGTAAAATTTTGAAATAGCTTTATCTCGCTCATGTTATCTGCAAGTTTCTTAGACGTATCACGTCATGATCATTGCCTTTCAAAAGGGCGAAGTTCGGCGGACCAGAGATCGTTGATTAATCCATTTTGTCCTTATATTTAAAAAATAGGAATCTTTGTTCAGTTGAACCTGAATCGAAAAATTATAAATAAATAACTGTCAATGTTAAGTTACACTGACAAAAAAACGTACACAGAATTTAAAAAATATATAATTTAAGGACTTTATAATAATTTAAAAGGGTTATTTGCCAATAATATATGTATTTATTTAATTCTTAATTTTAGTGATGGTGTTATAAGAGCGCCGAATGGAAGCACTTTAAGGAGAAATACATGGCTGAGATCCAGTCTGAAAAGGAGCAGCAAGTATGTTTTTTTTATATTCGGTGAAAATTATTTTTCGATTAATTTATTATTAATTGTTCTAGAGAAATCAGGAAGTCTAATAATTGATAGTGTATATCAAATACATTTTTATGTAATTGGTGAAAAAAGGGTTTTCTATAATTCTCTATAATCTTGAATTTAGGTTTTAATATGATCAGACCAAGTGCCAGAAAAGAACGAAGATAATTTTGAAACTTTTTTATCTTTTCTTCATTGGTGCGTTTTTGTGCTGGATACACAATTTTTTTTGTGAAAATACAACATTTTTATTCTCATTGATTTTGCGTTATCTGGGAATGGTTTGAGTAGGGTCAGGGTTTGGGACGAGTTAGGTTAGAAATGGTTAGGATTTGTAGGGTGAAATGGTTAAAAGTTAGCGATAGGTTAGGCTAAATATTGATAATTTTTTATAGTTTTTATAGTTTTTTTTGTGTAATGAACACGTTATTTTATTTTTTAATGAAAACGTTCAAACTTTTTATTTGCTTGGCTATTCGCATTTTACTCCCAATGTTTCAAGTTTACCACTTGAAACGATCATCTTTTATGTTGAGTTAGGAACAGGTTATGTTATATTATGTATATTTTAATGTTCATGTGTGCATAATATAAACATTACTATTTTTTCTTTTTTTTTGTTAATTGAAAAGTTTGAAACTTTAAATTTGCTAGGCTACTGTACTTTAACAGCCAGTCGATAGTTTGTTTCTTTACAAAAACATTAAATAATAAAAGGTCAAATTTGAGTTGATTTCGGCCTGTATGAATTTTTTTGTTATGTTTTTCAGTCTTATTTGGTTTAAAGCGTTTCTAATTTCTTCCTCGTCTGCTTCATCATTCCTGATCATCGGGTTGACTGTTCCAAGTTGAACACTTAACACCATCATCTGTTAGGTTAGGTTCTGTTTCACAATTATAGGTTATGTAGGGTTAGGGTAAAGCTAGGTCATGTTTGGTAAGGTTAGAGCCAGAGTTAGGGCCTCGTAAGTTTCCATATCTAAGATTTTTCCATTAAGTGGAGAAAATATTTTCAATTTACATTTTTCATCAGAAACCTCTTGGATATATTTTTTCGAAATTCAACTTTTCAAAAACAACCCAAATGTATTCGATAAATCGAAGATATTACCAAAATAAGCATGGTATTTTATTGAGCTAGTGTGAAACGAGGCAGTGAAATTTTTTATCACTGCTATTTATAAAAATATCTTCTTGCTTTTGAAAGTTTATGTTTACTGTGTGGCATGTTTGTCAAAATAATTTACAGTTTTTCTTCTTAACGTTTTGTTATTTTAAAGTGTTTTCTTTTGTTTTGTAGCAACCACGAAAATCTTCCCAACAGGAGATGGGGCTCTTTTAGACAAACGTAAGTACCAAGCTCGAACTTATTTTTAGATAAATGAGAAAGTCCCGGATAATCGCTTCGTGGCAAACTGCCTTTCATTACGTACCGATTGCCATTATCGATTTCCAATTGGAAAACGAGCGTTCTTTTTTAAATTAAGTCTACCGGGGATGGTCGGAATTTTTTTTTAAACAAATACACTCGGAATATTCAACCCTGGTTTTAAATGACCATCAATGTGTGGTGTTTAGTGACCGTTGTCAATGATTATTCGGAGATCCTGAGATACGGTCTGATGTGAGGTAGGTTTTGGAAAAACATTTTCTTTATCGTGCCAACGTTTCGATCTTTATAGAGATCATCTTCAGGGCTCAAAGTGTTTGTTTGTGTGTCGTGTTGAGAGAGCCATTCTCGCACACCAGACCGCATCTCACGTTCTCCGAATAATCATTACCATCAATCATGATTTATAAATTCGTTAGTAGAAATTGACTTCAAAAACTTGCCCTAGTTTGTATATTGTTGTACTCATGGTACATGGTACTGCTGTTGATTCATAAATTCGCCCAAATTATCTTACTTTTCGCAATTTCTTACGTCTTTTTGTGTGAATAATGATGCACTGTTAGAACTTGAAAATCACCAGGAACCTTGGGTTGTGGTTTTTATTTTTGTTAAATCATTTCGGCCTGTGGTCCATATCCAAGTCAGTGTTTCAATCTTTGCCTCTAGTCTGATTCTCTTTATAGGTTCAAAAAATACATTAAGAAAAAATCGTGTAATAAAATATTTACCCATTTAACTTTATTGTCTGAACTTAAATTTACTCATGCAGTATTGCAAAATAAGTCGAGTTCAACAGGTAATAAAACGGACAACATCTGGTTTTCACGATTTTACGACACCCTCGTTACCTCGTTGACCACATATTAGGCATACAAGAGGACAACCAGACCACTGTCAATTTCTTAATTCACCCCCACAAAAAGTTCCACTTTCACTGTAGAAATCAAAAAACTGGATCTCACTGTCGACAGGCACATTTAAAAAATGTACTGAAGTTCTTAGATGACCTGACAGTGCACGTACAAAGACCAGTTATACATTCTTGAAAAAAACCTGCGGTTACTGACAAACCGGATTTATATGTAACTAAAGTTACAGAGAGTGAATATTCTGACCTTACTGGTGAAATCCTCTATTGACCAGACTCCGACCCATAATCTCGGACGTTTATTGCTCACCGCGGTCGACAACCTTGCCCGACCAGAGGATTTCTCTCTTGTACGCCCATACCAGAATGAGTCAACCATAGCGTAACCCCTTCTCCCATGGTCCAGTAATGCCCCTCCAGGCTGGTCCGCATGGCTACGCCTACGCTTACGCTAGTCCTTGAGATATAGGCGATGAGGAGGGAACTCGCAAGGTAAACAGTTTTACTATCATCTTTGTCGTCTCTTAAATAGCACATAGTGTTAAACAGCCTACACTATTGCTTCTGTACAAGAACGTACCAAAATAGAAAACCCCCAAAAATATAGGTCATGTTGGAATATATTTGGCAACGTTCATAAATGCCCGTTCATGTTATTTAATCTAAATTATAATAAATACTTTTTTGTTAACTTTTTTAGTGTTTTTTATGTTATGGTAAAGGCTGTTATGAATTCGACTTGTTTTACTTTTCCTCGCAGTGGTTTCCATAACGCGTTATGCCATGTGCCCCTTGGCGCGAAAAACGGCATACTTTCCCACCTTGGATAAACTTTCCCTTCAGCTTTTTTTTTGTGTTAACGTTGTCGATATTACGAAGAAAGCTGTAATAGCGATATTTTGAGGTCATCATGGCATCCTTAAATACTTCAAAAAATATGGGAAGGAAGTAATATGTTTGAATAAATCCAATCAATGATCTTCTTTGTAGGTTTTTGAATGGTTTAGGCCTTTTATAGGAAAATTTTGAATATGTCTTGGACTATATCATATAAATGTGTGGTGATTAGTGACCGTTAGTCTATGATTGTTCGAAAATCGTGATACGGTCTGTTGTGACGTAGGTTTCAGAAAAACATTTTCTTTACCGTGCCAACGTTTCGATCTTTATTGAGATCATCTTCAGCGCCTGGGATTTACAAACATTGTTTAAATTTAACATATACTTATTCAGAAATCGTGAGATGCGGTCTGGTGTGAAGTAGGTTTCAGAAAAACATTTTCTTTACCTTGCCAACGTTTCGATCTTTATTGAGATCATCTTCAGAGCCTGGGATTTACAAACATCGTTTACATTTAACATATACATGTAGGATGTGGAAAAAAGTGAATGAAAAAAGTTTATACATTGCAAAAAAAATATTTTTTTATATTCAATCAAAGTATTTCTACTCACTCAAAGTGTTTGCCCAGAAAACAAACACTTCGAGTGAGTAGAAATACTTTGATTGAATAAAAAAAAATATTTTTTTCGCATTGTATAAATTCACTTTTTTCCATCCTAAATGTATTTGTTAAATTTAAACAATGTATGTAAATCCCAGGCCCTGAAGATGGTCTCAATAAAGTTCGAAACGTTGGCACGATAAAGAAAATGTTTTGACGAAACCTACGTCACACCAGACCGGATCTCACGATTTCCGAATAATCGTTATCATATAACATATTTTATAAGCTAACAGAATTTTTTCTTGGATGTAGCAATGTATGACATATGCTGTCTAGAGAGACCCAATGTGTCTTAATCTTAGGAGGATGTGAGACGCAACTTTTTAAGAAAGGCTGTTACTTCATTTATGAAATGGAGCAACTCAGGCGATCCGGTCTCTAGTTTTACTCCCGGCTTATTTTTTTACCACCTCGTCATCAGAAACGGTCCCCGTTTTCCAGAGAAGGCGAATGGAAAATCATATCGATTCGGCTTCCTCGTGGAAAGCTCCAAAGCGCATGACGAAGCAGCAAAGCTCTCGCCGTTATCGGTAGTGTCCATCGCATTTTCATAACAGATAGAAGTCCTTTTTCCACTCTCTGGAGAAGTCCGAGACCAGCGGAAACATCTCGGTAAGAAGATTTGTCTCTTTAAATTTATAGATACTTGATTTATGTTGAAACCATCGTGACTGTCTGTCCTCTATGTACGATATTCAATTTGTTATGTATTATCACAAGTCTTGCTAATTAAAAGTGGCTAGATATACAATTCTCTTTCTTTCTAAACGTCTTCTAATTTATTAATCCGTAGTAACTTACAAACAAAACAAAACTTTGTAAATCTTGGCCAACTTGTAGCTTAAGAAAACGTTGTCCTGCTACGCACTTTCATATTTTTTAAACGTAATTTTCTCCCAACATATGATTGTTCATGAAAAAGCATGATTAAATCTAGCTGAATCTTTTGCAAATATATATTATAACTCGTCGTTTGGTTCATTCAACCAATTGTCACGACCTCGGTCATCTTTATTTGTGCCGATGCCCCGAAAAATTGATGATTCGATGCCAGCCGGCCTTTCATTCAAAGGCAATTCAAAAACAAATTGCTTTTTCCCGTCTCGACAAACACGTCCGTGCGTAAACGTTATTCGGTTTATTACAATTCACCGGTTCTGGGTAGTTTATGCAGGTACCATTAAAAAAAAACATCCTTTTTGTGGTAGAAAATTTGAAAACCCCTGTACTGGCAATAGCAATCCAGGAATAATCTTGAATCGTTGCAAAACAAGAGACAAGAGTTCACCTTGAAACCCTGGGGGTGGTGTTGATTTAAAGCCTCGTTGGGCTTTCATTCACCCTGTTGAATAAAGGGTTAACACGGTCCGACCAGCAAGTCAAATTCATAATTAAATAACCCCAAACTCGGTTAAACTAAAAAATAAACCACACAAACCAGTGGTCGCAAAGTCTAAGAATTAGATAAATAAGAGATAAAAAATAAAAATTTATTTTTATCACATTTATTTATTTATTAATTACTTAAACTTTTACAAAACCTTGATCTTTTCACAAAGTTTGACCCTCGAGAGCTAAAAATTGCCAAATATATGATTCATATATGGTAATATCTTCTGGACCTTTCGAACAACATTAAAATTAATAAATTACCCATGAAGTTTGAGCGAAAATAGACAGACGATTGTTATATTCACCAAAGCAGTAGTTGAAAAAATAGAATTGACTTCCATTTGTGAGCCATTAGACCAGGCCATTGATTGATTATTTATTAGAAATCACTCTCTAGAAATTTAGGGGAAAATCGCGAACAAGTGAAACAATCAAAGACGCCCAAGACATAAAAACGATTTAATTTGACATTTAAATATTTTAATGAAATATAACGTAGCTTGTTTCCCCAGGAGATAATTAGTGCATAAGACAATTTTTCATAGATAAACAAAAATTATACATTAGTGCTTACAAAAATATAAATATAATTTATAAAAAAAATATATACTTTATACATTTTTTTTGGTACTCAAATGTAAATTTAGGGGAAAACCTCGAACCAGTGGTACAATCAAGGACGCCCAAAACATAAAATTTAATTTGGCATTTAAATATTTTAATGAAAGATAACGTAGCTTGTTTCCCAGTAGATAAATAGTACATAAGACAGTTTTTCGTAGACAAACAAAAATTAGACATTAGAGCATGCAAAAATATAAATATAATATATAAAAATAAATATATATACTTTATACATATTTTTTATTGGTACTCAAGTATAAATTCAGGGGAAACCACGAACCAGTGAAACACTCAAGGACGCCCAAAACATAAAAACGATTTAATTTGGCATTTAAATATTTTAGTGAAAGAGAACGTAGCTTGTTTCCCAGTAGATAAATAGTACATAAGACAATTTTTCTTAAACAAACAAAAATTAGACATTAGTGCTTACAAAAATGTAAATATAATCCATTAAAAAAAAAATATACTTTATACATTTTTTTTTTAATTGTTACTCAAGTATAAATTTAGGAGAAAATCGCGTACCAGCGCAACAATCAAGGACTCCCAAAATATAAAAACGATTTAATTTGATTTTAAATATTTTAATGAAAGATTACATAGCTTGTTTGCCAGTAGATGAGTACATAAGACAATTTTTCATTGGCAAACAAGAATTAGACACTAGTGCTTACAAAAATATAAATATAATATATAAAAAATATATATACTTTATACCTATTTTTTTTAGTACTCAAGTATAAATTCAGGGAAAAACAGCGAACCAGCGCAACAATCAAGGACGCCCAAAACATAAAAACGATTTAATTTGACATTTAAATATTTTAATGAAAGATAACGTAGCTTGTTTCCCAGTAGATAAATAGTACATAAGACAGTTTTTCGTAGACAAACAAAAATTAGACATTAGAGCNATATATATGCTTTATACATAATTTTTTATTGGTACTCAAGTATAAAATTAGGGAAAAACCGCGAACCAGTAGAACAATCAAGGACGCCCAAAACATAAAAACGATTTAATTTGACATTTAAATGCAAGCACTTGTGTCTAATTTTTATTTGCCTATGAAAAATGGTCTTATGCACTATTTATCTACTGGCAACCAAGCTATGTTATCCTTCATTAAAATATTTAAATGTAAAATTAAATCGTTTTTATGTTTTGGGCGTCCTTGATTGTTTCACTCGTTCGCGATTTTCCCCTAAATTTATACTTGAGTACCAATAAAAAAATATGTATAAAGCATATATATACATGTTTTTTTTTCGTCATTTTAACATTTAATTGGACAAGACCGCAAGACTTTCTCCAGTCGTTGCGCAACCGGTGTTGGCAATAAAAGTGGGGTTTAGTATATTTTTAAAAGATCAGTCCTTCCTTTAGGAAGCCGATGGTTTTTTTTTCTCTCTTTAAGCATACTCTCCTGACCTCGTTCCCTGACCTTTTCTATTCTCAGTGCCTGTTCCCCAATCTGGGGGAACGGGAACGTAAATCGAAAAAAAGAAGTACAACTTAGCCGACTTTTTTTTGTTTACACATTGGGCAAGTCCAAGGGTTTATATTAAATCGAATCTGTTATTAATTATTAAAAAAGTCGATTAAAAATTCAATATTTTATATAGAATTTTAACTTGAAAATATAGCTAACTGGGCAGGAGAATTTATGAAATTAATAGTTAAGCTAGGAATTAATGTTATAACGATCCTACTTTCCAAACAAAAAATAACACAATAAACTAGATTAGATCGTCAAATGCCCTGTTTAATTTATTAATTTAAGAAATACAATTAAATATATTTTTCTGAATAATATAATTTTCTTATTAAGTGCACAACAGGATTTTATTTTGATTTTGTTTTCCAGATCAGGCAAACGGGTCGGAAATGCAGTATCCAGGTATGCCACATGTAATATTAAAATATTTTTAATTTTAAACAATTCATTATATAAAAAAATGTACTTCTGAGCGAAGAACTTTTCATTGTCGAATTTCATGATAATTATATGCCATGTGCTTTGAAGGTCTTGCTGCTTTTGTTTTTCTATTGACTTCTATTCGTTTATACATATCTAATAAGTGATTTATTAATGTTTGCCTTTTTTTTTTTTTTTACCTTGGCGTTGAAAGCGCACGAGTTGGTGTCTTCAAAAAGACTCTACCAAGCAGGCTTTACAATCTTAAAAGTTTTACGTCTCTTTTTATCCTGAAAAATACCCACCGCTCGATGCTTCAAATTTAACGAAGCTTGAAATTATAATTAACAGAAGATTTCCCAGTCTGAAGGGAAGAAGAACGGGTGAAAGTGGTGAAAAAAAGGCCATTACATAAATTCCAGACTTTCCCCTACCGGTGGAAAACTCTTGGGGTCGGGGAAAACAGCAATTAATTAAGAAAGACGAGCGATATGAAATGTTTACAAAAATAATAAAATGAAGACAAACTCACACCACTGATCATTACAAAAAAAAATTTGCTCTTGAAAACCAAGTTAGACATAAAAAAAATTCAATATTGTAAATTGTTTAATATTTTCATGTGTATAACTAAAAAAACTGTGAATTTTGCATGGTATGTTTTATTGGGTTCATACTGATTTATTTCAATGTAATTTCTCCTCTCCCTCTCAATAAATATCATTGATGTTGATAACAATGAACAATTCAAATTTTCACTTCTTCGAATATTTCTGCCCGCTTGGAAACAACAAATACAAAAACGTCCATCAATGCGTTTAAATCATAACTATCTGGTTGACCAAAAAATTGATATTTTATTTTTTTATGTTATTTTTTATTTATTTTTCTGATTAAAAAAATATGGTAGGCACCCATAAATGTCAGAATTTTTGGGTGTAATTTAAGAAAATTATTTACATATTTCTTTATTATTTAAGTTTAGGACAAGTTTTTTAAAAATAAATAATAGTAAAAATATAATAACCCGCATAATAATAACATTACCCTTCATAAAGAAAGTTTAAATAGTAACCATACTACACGGTAACGCTTGCAAGCCGTGCGGGTTTAGTATCTCGGAGCTATCAGGCGCTGGTATTACCCGTGTAGGCGCATCACTCGAATTCATATTTTTCCACTATTTATAAGGCAAACTTGAAAAAACAAAAATACCTCAGCATATGAGGACTTTGATGATTCCCTGATGAATGGGATAAATTCCTCAAAAGCTTGACGAAGGGACTTACGTGTTTTTCCCTTTATCAAACTTGCCTTATGCTTGATTTTTATTTATAATTATAACATTAAGGCTGGTAACAATCACATCAAGATAATTTTTTTTCTATTACAGCCTAAACCGGAGTTCTTCTTTTAACTCCTCTGGAAGGAGCTCTGCGTGCGATACTGCGGATGATGTGTATTCGGATGTTTCACTCGAAGAGGAAGTCCTCGATCTCAATCATAAGGTAAAACATAAAAAATGATAATCTGTTTAAAAAATAGGATAAATAGACTATCCAAAAAAACTCTTTACTTCTCCAAATAAGACCTAGAAAATACTATTTACCTTTGAAGAATTAATTCCTTTAAAATAGTCCATTGCCCCTTTTTTGTAATCATTTCCTTTTTTATCCTACCTTTATGTCGATGTACAAAACGTGTTTCTACATATCGGTGATAGTCGCCAAAGTCTCATAAACTCTGCATGAGCTAAATATGAAAAATCTCTCTTTTTAGAGTATTAAGCCGTTTTTTTTACTCACGAATAATCTGGATTTCGGTATGGTCTGGGTAAAAAAACAAATTCAATTGTTATCTGCCAAGATTTTGACTTATTATATCTAAAAATTGACATAATTAATGTTTATATAATATTAGCTTAATTACGTCCATTTCTAGTGATCTTTAAGATTATTTCGCTCTGATGATGACCTTAAAATAGTTCGAAAGCTTAGCAGTTAACAATTGAGTTTGTTTTTTCACCTAGAACACGCCGAGATTCAGAAAAAACATAAAAACATTAAAAAAGGTTTTGAGCAATTTGGACGAGGTTGCTAAAATAATTTTGAGGTTGCAAAAATAATAGAAATAGCTCTAAAATAATATTATGTTTATAATTTATGTCCATTCTTATTTTAAAAAAATGTGTAAACCCAGCATATCTTTAAAATTTATTTCCAAAAATAGCTAGAAAATGTATCCTTAATGCATGTGAGCGCTTGTTAAAAAAAAGAGGGACGTTTATTAAAAAAAAAATTGTTCGGAAAAAATTGTTAAACACTAAAATTGTACATAAGTTATTTTCGTTATACAGTACGAAAACAGTGTAAGTTTAACACTTTTACAATAGAATCAAAAAAGAGCAAGCAAGTTTCTATAAAACATCTATATCTAAAGAGCTTAAAATTACTAATTAATATTAATGTTAAATTAGTACAAAACTGACAAACCTGGTTATATCTGGTTACAATTATTACAATAATTAGTATTTTATTGCAATTATTAGTATGGCACTTTTAGCTTTTGGAAAAGAACAAACTTACTTTCTAAATAATGAAAGAATAAACATAAAAAACGCCAACTGTTGTAAAAATTTGTTTTCATTAGTTGCATATCTGATATCTGGATTATTGTAATATTTTTGGTATTTAAAAGCAATAGTCACTTTCTAAATATACATTCGTGTTCACATTAGTAAAACACATTTAATTTTATCTGGCATTGTCGGATAGTCTAGAAAGTTTCTAAATAATTGAAGAACCAAGGTAAACACCGAGGTATTTGTGTAGGGAAGTTTTAGATGTTATTGAGTCAAAAAAATACTATAAATTTAGTTTTACTGTAAGTGCGACGCTTAATTAACAAACTTTCGTCACTAACGAAGTTTGAACACTCCCAACATGAGCAAGAACTAAGTTAAACACGACATGGATATATTTTTTTAACTTTAACATGATGTAAGTAAAGTACTGGTATATATTTTATTTTGCTGCGAGTACTAAGTTTTTTCGACTCAATTTGTCCCTAAAGATGAACTAATAACACACTCTAAACATTTGAATGAACCAAGACAACGATAGAATTATGTTTATTTAGCTTTGGCATGTTACTAAGTCATTAGGGAAGGACTAGTAAGATTCTAAAACCAATCAACCAATGAAACAATTTTATATCAATAATATATAGCTTAAATTATTTTTATTGCATTTTCTATCTTATAAGAACCAAGCTGTTTTAGATTTATTGGTTTGTCAGTACTAGTGATTTTTAAAACATTTTGAGAATTAGGTTACAGCTAGTAAGACTAAATATTTAGAGGAACCTAGTACTACGTTAAGACATGAATAAAATTATTTGGGTTTTGTTTTGTTTTCTATGTTAGTGAGTACATAATAATACGTATGCTATAGATTTAGGTTTGTGTAAGTACTAGAGATTTTTAAGGTATTCTAAGTACTAGTAAAGAACTGGTAAGATTCTAAGAAATTGGATGAATCAATTTCTACTTTTAGACATGGTAAAAATGATTTTTTTTAAATGTTAGTAAGTACATAACTTTTGTTCGGTTAGGTTTAAACATGAGAAAATATCTGGTAGGAATATAAATAATTGGAAGATTTATTTTCAACTGTAAGTCATGACAAATTATTTGGGTTTTGTCTTCTATTTTAGTAAGTACAAAACAGTTATACATTTAGTTTTTTGTAAGTACTAGAAATTTTTAAAGCATTGTAAGCACTAGTTAAGAACTAGTAATATTCTAAGACTTTGGATGAATCAATTTCTATTTTTAGACATGGTAAAAAGGATTTATTTGTATGCTAGTAAGTACAAAAATGGTGTTCATATAGATATTTTTTGTCAGTACTAGAAATTAGAAAAGCTCTTTAATCATTAGAAAAGATCTGGAAGGAATCTAAATAATTGGAAGATTTAATTTCAATTGTAAGTCATGAGAAATTATTTGGGTTTTGTCTTCTATTTTAGTAAGTACAAAACTGTTATAGATTTAGTTTTTTGTGAGAGTTAGAGAATAGAAAAGCACTTTAAGCATTACTAAGATTCTAAGACTTTGGATGAATCAATTTCTATTTTTAGACATGGTAAAAAGGATTTATTTGTATGTTAGTAAGTACAAAAATGGTGTGCATATAGATATTTTTTGTCAGTACTAGAAATTAGAAAAGCTGTTTAAGCATTAGAAAAGATCTGGAAGGAATCTAAATAATTGGAAGATTTAATTTCAACTGTAAGTCATGAGAAATTATTTGGGTTTTATTTTCTATTTTATTAAGTACAAAACTGTTATAGATTTAGTTTTTTGTGAGTATTAGAGAATAAAAAAGCACTTTAAGCAGTAGTAAGATTCTAAGACATTGGATGAATCAATTTCAACTTTTAGACATTTTTTTGCATGTTAGTAAGTATAAAACTTGTATTCATTTAGGTATTTTTTGTAAGAGAGAGATTAGAAAAGCACTTTGAGCATTAGAAAAGATCTGGTAGGAATCTAAATAATTGGGCTATTGTTTTCTATGTTAGTAAGTACAAAACTGTTATACATTTAGTTTTTTGTAAGTACTAGAAATTTTTAAAGCATTGTAAGCACTAGTTAAGAACTAGTAATATTCTAGGAAATTGGATGACAATTTCAAATTTTAGGCATGGTAAAAATGATTTTCTTGTATGTTAGTAAGTACAAAACTGGTATTCATTTAGGTATTTTTTGTAAGTGCTAGAGAGTAGAAAAGCACTGAGGATTAGAAAAATCTGGTAGGAATGTAAATAATTGGGATATTGTTTTCTATGCTAGTAAGTATAAAACTGTTATACATTTAGTTTTTTAAGTACTAGAAATTTTTGTAAAGCATTTTAAGCACTAGTTAAGAACTAGTAAGATTCTAGGAAATTGGATGACAATTTCAAATTTTAGGCATGGTAAAAACGATTTTCTTATATGTTAGTAAGTACAAAACTGGTATTCATTTAGGTATTTTTTGTAAGTGCTAGAGATTAGAAAAACACTTTGAGCATTAGAAATGATCTGGTAGGAATCTAAGTCATTGGAAGATTTAATTTCAAAAGTAAGTCATGTCTAAAATTATTTGGGTTTTGTTTTCTATTACATAAGTACAAAACTTATAGATTTAGGTTTTTGTAAGTATTAGGGATTTTGAAAGCATTTAAGCACTAGTTAAGACTTCATTTCAACACTGTTATGACTAAAATTACTTTCATTTTGTTTTGCCTTTTATGTTAGTAGGCACAAAACTAATATTAAGTTTTTGTAAGTATTAAAGTTTTAAAAAATATTTTAAGCATTAGTTGGTAACTAGTAAGTATCCAAATAATTGGTTGAATCATTTCAACTTTTAGACATGTTTAAAAAGATAGTCGGTTTGCTGTGTATGTTAGTAAGTACAAAATTGTACATTTAGTTTTTTTAAGTACTAGAGAGTTTTAAAATATTTTAAGCCATAGAAAAGAACTGCTAAGATTCTAAATATTGGTTCAATCAATATCAACATTCAGACATGCCTAAAATTGTTTTCTTTACATTTTGTATGTTAGTAAGTACAAAACTGTTATAGATTTAGTCTTTTGTCAATATTGAGATTAGTATAATACTTACTAATATAATGCTTACTAATATATTACTAATGTAATACTTATAATATTAAGATATGTCTAAAATTATTTTCGTTGCCGTTATTTTTTATGACCAAAACGTGTTAGTGGTTTGAGTTTTTGTAAGTATTGAGATTCCTATAATACTTTAATGTTAGAGCATAACTTTCTATGTTTGTAAGTACAAAACTGATTTTATTTGGAAGTCTAGTTTTTGATATATTAGTGACTAACAAAGTTTTAGTTTTACTTCCAAGGAAGTTATTAATTATTGCTAAAACCTATTGATTATTGTTAAAGCAAGTTTTAGCTTGGGAAGATTTTATGATTGATGATCTCCATAACAATTAGGTGGTAATGATTAAAATTAACGGCAAAATGTAATTGTAGTTTATTAACGGAAACATATTTTGGGTGTATTAAAAGGCTATTATTATATAAATGTACCTTAGTTAAACTGGGCTAATGGCTTGTGAACGCGCCAGATCTAATTTTCCAACAATTTCCAATGCTTTTAGAAACGAATCTTCCCCGTTGTAATAAACGATACTCTTTTGTGTCATGTCGGAATCATTTGTAAGAGAAAGTCAGTGGGATTATTAACGGCCCAGGGGCATTCCATTGTGACCATGTCCGAGTCACGTCGGCGGCTGGAAGGCTATCGACCTTCCTGGGCAAAAGGTTGCATTCCACGTCAAAAGAATATTGTACCCAAAACGAACCGGGTATTCTTTGGCTTGGGGTAAAGGTTTTTTTTACGATGGAAGGTAGGTGTCTAGCGCACCAACGCCCGGCTTCTTATCCTTCCTGTATCGACCCACGGGTCTTTTGTTTCAAAAACGCCGTAAATTACGAAAACAAAATACTTCGACTGGTTTCTGCAATTAAATTTTACCACTAGACTGTGTAAGCGGGTTTACTGCACTTTCATGGCATAACAATGTTACCCAACAGAAACTTTTCATTCCTCGTCTAACGCCAAACGCAGTTATATCTTGGATTGACTGCGATTTGGGAAGAATTCTAAATTTTTTAAGAATTAAATCACAACATATTAGGTGAAAGAAAGCTGTTTTTCTTAATAACGAACTGATAATAAACAATTCAAACATATGTCTACAACTTGATCAAATCCCGATTGTATTGGGGTCCGCCTATTCTCGCTTACTAGTTTATAGGACTTTATCGATTAGAGAATTTAAAAAAAACACACACACACAAACTTGAATTTCATAATGGACAAATTGAAACGTCCTGGGCAAGAAAAGGGACAAATTCGACCTATTCTAATTGTACCAGCTTTATAACACCAACAGCTGCATAATTAAGCAAGTATGTAGTATCGTTCAAATTGACATTTTGAATTTGGCCGATGAAAATTCATTCGCGGTATTTAATTTTTAAGTTTTTCTCTTTATATAATTTTTAAACCTATCGGTCTAACTTATCTCAATTTTCATAAAATTTAAAGGATAAAGTGATCGTCTTGACCGTGATTGGGATAGAATCAGAATTTAAGATTGTGCCAGAAGGAATATGAATTATATTGCTTTTTAAAATGTTTACTAATTTTGTTGAGGTCGTGAGGAGCGGTCAAAAATGAGGTAGTTTAGAAAAACAACTTTTTCATTTTTTTCCCGACGTTTCGACCTTTATTCCGGCCATCTTCAGGGCCTTGTTTTGTCTACATTTTAGTGAGAAAATCCGTTGATTTGGAGCTGCTGCTAGTGTCTTCTGGTTTCTTGCTATTATTTTTGAGTGTGGCAGTGGCTTGATGAACATGTTTGTTGATGACATGTTTGTAAAAACCCATGTTGGTTGTGTTGTTCCTCTCAGGTAGAAATGTGTATTTTTTAGCGACCTGTTGTTCCCTAAGTTGTTGACAACATGAGGAGCGATCAAAAATGAGGTATAGAAAAACACCTTTTTCATTTTTTTCCCGACGTTTCGACCTTTATTCCGGCCATCTTCAGGGCCTTGCTTGGTCTACATTTTAGTGAAAAAATCCGTTGATTTGGAGCTGCTGCTAGTTTCTTCTGGTTTCTTGCTATTACTTTTAAGTGTGGCAGTGGCTTGATCTCCAAGTTTTTAGATGAAATGTTTGTAAAAACCCATGTTGGTTGTGTTGTCCCTCTCGGGTAGAAATGTGTGATTCTTAGCGACCTGTTGTTCCATAAGTTGTTGAAGTCGTGAGGAGCGGTCGAGAATGAGGTAGTTTAGCCTTTTCCATTTTTTTTTGTCGACGTTTCGACCTTCAACATCTTACGAACAACAATGGTCACTAAAAAACACACATTTATACCCGAGAGGAACAACACAACCAACATGGATTTTTACGAACATATCGCCTACAATCATCATCCAGCCACTGTCACACTAAAAATCATCGCAAGAAACAAGAAGAAACTAGCAGTAGCTATAAATCAACGGATTTTCTTAGTAAAATATGGACAAAACTAGACCCTGAAGATGTCCCAAATAAAGGTCGAAACGCCGGTAAAAAAAATGAAAAAGGAGTTTTTCTAAACCACGTCATTCTCGACCGTTCCTCACGACTTCAATATATTATGAGGCAACAGGTCACTAAGAAACACACTTTTAAGTAGTATGCGATGAAAAAAGAAGAGGAAGCATGTAGTGGTTGAGAAGTATAGTTAGAAGTGTACTGTCGGCCATTTTGGTCCGTTTCGTCTCGCTGGCGTGTTATTGGAACTGTGTCCAAACATCTGGCTTTACTTTTTTTTTTTTTCCAAAGAGTATTTTACTATTTGGACTTCACAACATCCATGGCCGTCCTTGAGGAAAGGCGTTCAAAATGGGTAAATCGTAGGGGGAACTTGGCTATGGCAGCACTGCGCGCACGCCCCTCTTCCCGTCCGTCGCGGACCTCCGCTTCAGTCACGTCCCGTTCCCCTTCGGTAGTGCATTCCGGACCGATAATATTCAAGTGTTCGCCGGTGGCGTCGGAAATCATTGAAATTCTGGGGTAATCATGGATATTTTTATTCACTCCCCACCCTGGAAGGATTTATCATCGACGAGTTACGGAGGCGAGGATCATTGGTGACATGGAATACTAAATTTTCTATATCTCGGCCGTTTAGTTATAAAATTATTAAGCATGGAAAGAATACTAAAAAGTAATCTTATAAGACACATATTACACAAATGCTGTAAAAAAAAAATTATACAACATTGCTGCCGGGTTTGATGAACTTCAGTTGCAACTGGGTCCGCCTATTCTCGCTGTACGTCCTTGACGAGAATGGTTTTGGCCGCGCATATTAATAACAAGTCGCGGGGTGTGCCTATAGAACCACCGTAACAAAACACAACAGCAAAAAAAAACAGAACAGCAATTAAAAAATTTATTGATATGACTACACTAGCATACACTCCACATACAAAAAATGACTGAAAAAAGAACATTTCCGTTGTAAAAACCTGTCTATCTTGATATTAGTACTTTCATTTCGTATATTCATGCTGGATTCTAGGCTTAATTCTCGCAGGATGTCTTGTCTGATGGTCAGTTTTCCGAGACTTTATCACATTTAAAGCAATAAAACGTCTGATTTTGTGACTATGATGGAATATATATCAACATATAAACCAAAAATGACTGAAATAAGAACATTTCCGATCTGAAAAGCGTCGGATTTTTTGTACTGAAGGAACAAAAAACTCTACAAACCTTGTAATAAAACAAATTAATTTTAAAAATGAATCTTTTTTATATCAGTCCAGATTAACAGGCTGACGTATTATTACTTATTCTTGATATTAGTACTTTCATTTCGTATATTTATGCTCAGGATTATAGACTGTCTTGTCTGATGGGCATTTTTCGAGATTTTATTACATTTAAAGCAATAAAATGTTTGATTTTATGACTACGCTGGAATATATCCACATATAAACAGAAAATGACTGAAATAAGAACATTTCCGATATAAAAAACCTTAGAATTTTTGTATTAAAGGACCAAAAAAAGCCACAAACCTTGTGATAAAACAAACAAATTAATTGTAAAATGAATCTTTCTTAGATCAGTCCAGATTAACAGGCTATTGATAACTGATTCAGTCTATTATTCGTGATCTATTTTGATATTATTACTATCATTTCGTATATTTATGCTCAGGATTCTAGGCTATTTCTCACAATATGTCTTGTCTGATGGTCATTTTTCGAGATTTTATTAAATTTAAAGGAATAAACCGTCTGATGTTATGCCTATGCTGGATATATCCACGTATAAACCAAAAAAGACAAAGATAGAACATTTCCGATAATAAAAACCTTTGGAGTTTGTGTAATAAAGAACAAGAAAAACGTACATATGTGATAAAATAGACAAATGAATTGCAAGAATGGCTCATTCAGATCATTTCAAATTTTCTGTCAATATCTGACTATTGATTCAATTCATTGTTCGATTTTTATAATAATATAAGTACTTTTTATGACGTGCATCTATTCTCAGGACGATGATCTAGGCTTAATTATCACAGGATGTCGTGACTGATCGTAATTTTTTTCGAGATTTTATTGATTTTTAAGCAATAAACCATTTGATTTTTTTGATTACTCGAACATAACCACGTATAAACCTAAATTGTTTTGATTGACGTGTATTTATTCTCAGGATGTCCTTCTGGGCTTACTTCTCACATGATGTGTCTGATGGTCATTTTTTCAAGATTTCGTTAATTTTTAAGCAATAAACCATTTGATTTTTTTGACTACTCGAACATAACCACTTGTAAACCTAAAGTGTTCTTTCATGGTGTGTATTTATTCTCAGGATGTCCTTCTGGGCTTACTTCTCACATGATGTGTCTGATGGTCATTTTTTCAAGATTTCGTTAATTTTTAAGCAATAAACCGTTTGATTTTTTTGAGCACGTACAAATATATCAAAGAATAGCCTAAAACGACAAAGAAAGAACATTTCCTTTTGTATTTCCGATTTAAGAATGATTTGGAATTTGAGCAATAAAGGATTAAAATCGTCATAAAATACCAGATGTGATAAAACACAGGAAAGAGTAGTAAGAATGAATCTTTCTTAGATCACTTCCAAGTTATAGACAATATCTATTGACCTTGTTATTGACTAATTGATTCAATCTATTGTTCGTGATCTATCTCGATAATAGTTCTTCCATTTCGTATATTTATGTTCTGGATTCTAAGCTTAATTCTCACCGGGTGTACTGTCTGATAGTAATTTTTTCGATTTTATGATTTTTTAAGTTATAAACCGTCTGATTTTATGACTACACTTCAAAAATCCGCATATAAACCGAATATGAAAAAGTTAGAACATTTTCTGTTGCATTTTCGATATAAAAAAGTCTTAGAATTTGAATATTAAAGGGTCATACACGCTACAGGTTTGATTAAAAAGAGGAATGTATTTTAAAAATAAATCTGTCTTGCCTCATTTCAAAATTTAACTTAATTTAACTTGTTATTGACTAATTGGTTCAATCTATTTGTGCGAAATTTATCATAATATTAACTTTTATTACGTATATTTAAACTCTTCTAGGTTTAATACCACAGGTAATGTTCTGTAATTTTAGGATTTTTTAATCAATAAACCCACTAATTTTATTATTACACTCGTAGAAACAACTACGTTTAACACACATATAATAAAAATTGGCGTTTTACGATATAAAAATGCTACAAATTTGAAGATTTGTAAGAATGAAATCTGTCTTGGTAGATTTCAAATTTACAGACAATATCAATTGACCTGATATTCCCAAGGGTTGCAACATAGGACTTACGTTTTCAGAAAGCTCTTAGTAAAGTTCGTTTATTATGTTTTGACAAGAGACCAACTCTTATAAAGATAAAACGTTGTAAACATTGCAATACAATTTTTATAAGCGTTCATGTTTGGAGTTGAAACACAATAATCTAAAATTAAAATCTTTAATGTTATTGAATTTCTCACAGGAAAATAACTGTATACTATTTAATTATCTCGAGTATCAATTGTAACATCTGGTCTGATGAGAGGTTCAGCAGAGTCAAAAAAATGATGGTAAACATTCAAAATACTTCTAGTAGAAAACAATGTTATCACAGACTGCTCGGTATCATGTTTTCTTGTTTTCTTATTTTTTTAATCGGATTATATCACGACGGTTTAATTGAAATCAAGGCAATTCGATCGAACGTCTTGCAAAGATAAAATGATTTGCTCATTATCCTTTTAAATTTTATAGATAATTTAGAAAACATTTCTCGCCTTTGCCAATTTTTCGGTGGGAAGTTGGAAAAAAAAATTAAGAACCTGACTTATGTGTAATTTTTGCATATTATGCCATACTCAAAAGAGTCAGTTTTCATCAGTTTCTATTGGAAAGTTGTTCTAAGCTTGCCATTACATGATAATTCAAACAAAACTGGTCGTTCAAGGGGCTTTATAACTTAGAAAAAAACATAATGAAATAATTAAGCTCTAAAGCTTTTTTAGTAAAAACGTTTTTGTCAACATAAAAGCACCAAATTTATAAGATTTCCAGTATGGTTTTATTAAAATTATTGTAATTTTGACCGTTTGGGCGAAACAGGAAATGAGTTCAGACCTAAAACTTTGGAAAATAGCCAGGGGGATTTTTTAGTGTATAAATAGATTCTTGTAACCTTTTTATTTATAGACTCGAGTGTGACTCTGGTACGTCAGGCTGCTTATAAGGAGCTTTTCCTTATAAGTCTTGCTTTTGGCAACCGATTTTTCTTCCAAGTGGGAAAATATTGTTAACATCATGCCAGGACTGTTGGGGTTCGATGGCCTCCGGTGAAATATACAGGGTGTTCGGCTACTCGTGTTACAAACTTTGCCAGTAGAGTCTACATTCAAAATGAAACCAAAAAGTCCTAATTAACTAAAGTTCTTTAAGTTCGTATCTTAACAGTTTCGGAATTATTCCTGTTTTTCTGATTTTTTTGAGATTTCACGACCTTGCTTCAAATTAACAACGATAACTCCTAAACTAAAAGATTTTGAACAAATCCGTTGGTATAGTTGAAAACTACGTTATATTTCCAATAAAATTGGATTAATACTCAACTTTATATAATAAGTTGAAATAAGCGTTTTAGTAGCCAGAAGTTTGAAAAATTTTTTTTTTTTCAAAGTTGAAAAATTGACTATGGTGATTCTAAACTACTATTTCTAAACCTAGAAAACTGAAAATTTCATATAACGTACTCCATTTAATATCCTTTTTAGTGGTGTAATTGCTTTTTTAATTACTTTTTTCAAAAATGAAGAAATTGATAAAGGAAAAAGAAAAAACCGTGGTTAAAGGTGGAAAGATTAAAAAACATAAAATAAAATAAAAACTTAAGGAAATTTTGAATGAATTTGATAAATGTTTTTAAATTTAAGTTCGAAATCGAAATAGTGCAGGTGTTTACTTATTTACAATCAAGACTGCAACTTTGATTAAAGTATTAATGTATTATTACCCCCTCCAAAAAAAGAGTTTTATGACTCAAAACGTTTTTTGTTCTTTCATTCAAAATTTCTTTACGTTTTTACTTTTTTTTTTCATTTTCCACCTTACCAATCCGTCAATCACGGTTTTTACCTCCTCTTCATCGATTTCTTCACCTTTGAAAAAGTTAATTAAAAAAGCAATTACACCATTGAAAAGGATATTAAACGGAGTAGGTTTTCTGAAATTTGCTAGTCTCCAGGTTTGGAAATAGTAGTTTAGAATCACCGTAATTTTTCAACTTTCACAAAAAAAAAAATAATTTCAAAGTTCTGCCTACTAAAACGCTTATTTCATCCACGTTTGCAAGTTTAATATTGACTACATCTTATTGGAAATTTAACGTAGTTTTCAATGGTATTAACGGATACGTCCAAAACCTTTTAGTTTTGAAGTTATCATTGTTTTTTTGAAGCAAGGTCGTGAAATCTTAAAAAATCAGAAAAAGAGGAATAACTCCAAAACTTTAGCCAAAAAGACAAAATGAAAATGAGATAACTGTGGAATTCACTCGTTGGACATAAATAATCCTTGCTTAAAAAAAAACAACCAATGATAACTCCAAAACTAAAAGGTTTTGGACAAATCTGTTGATTCCATTGAAAACTACGTTAAATTTCCAATAAAATGTGATCAAGACTAAACTTGTAAATGTTGGTGAAATAAGCGTTTTAGTAGGGACAACTTTGAGAAAAAAATGATCAACAAATCGATGAAGAAAAGGTATTATTATTCTCCGAAAAAAAAGTTTTAATATTAAAAACGTTTTTAGTCCTTTCATTCAAAATTTCCTTACGTTTTTATATTTTTTGTTTAAATCTTCCTCCTTACCAATCCGTCAACCACGGTTTTTACCTTCCCTTAATCAATTTCTTCTCCTTTGAAAAAAGTAATTAAAACAGCAATTACACCACTAAAAAGGATATTAAATGTAGTACGTTATCTGAAATTTGCAGATTTCTTGGTTTAGAAATAGTAGTTTAGAATTACCATAGTCAATTTTTCAACTTTGAAAAAAAAAATTTTTTTTTTAAGTTCTCGCTACTAAAACACTTATTTCACCAACATTTACAAGTTTATTATTGATCATTTCATTGGAAATTTAACGTAATTTTCAATGGTATCAACTGATTTATCCAAAACCTTTTTCTTGAAGTTATCATTGTTTATTTGAAGCAAGGTCGTGAAATCTTAAAAAATCAGAAAAAGAGGAATAACTCCAAAACTCTTGAGATTCGGACCATAGTTAATTAGGAATTTTTAGAATATACTGGGACAGTTTGTAACACGAATAGCCAGACACCCTGTATAGGTTTTTGCTGATTTTTTTTTTCTGACGCGCAATATGTTTGAAATTGCGGAATCGTAATAATCGAAGGGGGCGAAGGCCATTGGATCAAGAAATTGCAGTAGTTTACATAAAGAAAACTGTGCTGGGTAGATTAAACAGGGCCGATTTAGACAAACTCTATTCATTTATAGTTTTGACGACTTCCTTTTATTCTTATTCGATATTTTAAAAGTTTTCGGATTTATCGGGGCAGTGTCTCCTGTGGTTGGGAACGACCCCGATATCAGGAGCGCAGGACATGGAGATGGTGAAAACCCATCTTTTGACTGTCGAGAGCGAACAGTGCTGCGACAGGTCTTTCTCCTCGTGGAAGTCGCATCCTATTTTTCTACAGTGCGAGTAGACGTCCTTGACGAGCTCGTTGTTGGCGTACTGGGGCGTAACCCTCGGGTCTGTTTTCCCTGACAACTCCATGCATTTCGACTTGAGCTCGTAGAATAGCATGGGCAGCGGGAACACCCTGATGTTGCAGTCTTCGTTGGACGCTTTGGCGAACCGCGACAGCGTACCACGAACTGCACTGATGCAGTGGTTGCAATTAGCGTCGTCAGGCATTGAGTAAATAGGCGGAGTCCTCTTCGGATTCTTCCTCCTCAGGAACCTCTTGAGTTCTCTGAGTATCGTCGGGTAGTCGTCTTCCGCCGATTCGACCACGTTCACAGGTATCCCGTGACTCTTATAAGCCCAGTCGAGTACTTCGTACTTCATCCCGAGCGGGATTTCACCAGGGTTGACGAAAAACTGTAGCGTCGCGCAGAGACCTTCGCCCAAATTGAACTCGGCTATAGCAATCTCGGCTGGAAGGAAGTTGTCCTCGCTGACCTGAGCGAAGTAGTTAATGTGGCACACGTAAAACAGCTGGTTTTTAAGCGCCTCTTCATCCGGGATTCTCCTCACGATGTAAATTATAGACTTCTTCATTAGATACTCTTCTTCCTGTATCTGCTTTTCCTTCTTCTGCGTCGTTATGGCCAACTTGTTCTCCTTGTACTTCTTCTTTTCGTAGCGGTTCTGCCCTTTGTCGTGTCCGTAGTCAGACAAGTTTTTATACTTTGGAGCCTTCTGGCTGGAGAATCGAGAGCTCACAAACTCAGGCATAACATAAACAATAACAAAATAACAATGTATAACAAGCTTCTTAACAAAGGTGGTACAAGTTTGGTAAACAAGTAACAAATGATTTTCTTGAAATAAAACAGCTTTTTATTGAGTGTTTACTTTAAAAATTAATATTGTAAAAATATACATAACAGAGCATATTTAAAATATCCAAGTTGAGTCAATTCGTTTAATTTTTTACACAAATTTCTTCTGGGACAAGCAATTCATGAACTGCCTGTTACCGACTTCCAGATAAATATTAAAAATCCTACTAATCTTTTATTATCATTTTTTTTTAATTTTTATTTTACGAGGGTTCGCAACATAATATCAACCCTCGGGGTGCCGGTGTTTTAGAAAAAAAAGCCCATTTGTAAGTATGTCGGGTTCGAATGCAGGGCCGCTGGATTGGAACCCGGGTCCTTTACCTTACAGTGATGAGCGCCGTGTCAACGCCTAAACCGTTGCGGCCACCGACGCCCCTCATTATTATTGACAAATTACAAAATAATTAAGCCTTTTAATTGATTTATAAAAACAAAATTTTCACGCGTAAGAATAAACAATTCTTCTACATTATTGTCCTATTGCCTTAACATCCTACATATTACATAATTTATTATTTACACCTTAGCCCGTTGGACGTTTCGAAATAGTTTTTCCCATTTTTCTATTGGAAAGTAAGTATTACGCGTATCGACCATTGTCAGAATTAATGTAGAAAAAAAAAAGTCTGACGGAATAATCAGTAAAAGTGTATACACGATTAGCTCGCAGGAGAATAAACGAAAAAAGCCCGAAGCATCCAGGAGTTTCTTACATAAATTTGTGAACCAGTTCCATTTAATATTCTCAAAGGATAAAAATTACATTATAACATGCATCGCTCTCGTTTGTGAAAGGGGAAAAAAATGGAAACCCGTGACAATTACCCGGAAGACTTTCCCTCGGAATCCTCAGACGAGTTCAATCAACTGGGATGACTCTCTAATTAACAGTTAAAATTAATTGACCCTAATTAAAGTTTCACAAAAAAATTGTGATACCGATAATTTTTCTATTGGATCAAATTTATGCGATAAAATTAGCGATTTATTTTCCCCATGCGCTCTTCCTGGAGCTTTACCAAGTCTTATTCACTAATTTTTCTACTTCAAATACAGTATATTTTTAAAAACCGATTTAGAAGAACAGAAAAAAAAAACGTTTTAACGCCCTCACCGAAGAGATTTGGCAGAATATTGCAAATCTCTTGAATTTTGCCTAGCTTCCAAGTCATGACTTGGCTATTTTATCGGATGATGCAGGATGATGAAGATGACGCAGGACATTGGTGAACGGGCCAAGAACATATTTACACTTTTCATATGTTTGTACCGACACAACGTTGCCGAAATTGAACCAAAAGTCGCTTGATCACATCTGGACTTTAAAACTTCTATCTTTTACTATTAGTACGATATAAAATTTTCATTTATCGGTTTCAGAAAATTAATTAGATGCTAGAAATTTGAAATTATGTTGTCTAAAGTTCTTTAAAAACTAAAGAGTACTAAATTGAAACGAACGTGCTATGCTATAAGATGCCAATTTTGCTTTTCTCGTGTAATTTTTACAATGTGTAAATGTTTTCAAATTTTTTCTATTATGCTTATCTTAAAAACAACCATTGCTTGCATAAAACCTAAAGAAATCATAAAATTTGATGCCTTGGTTTTTTTTTTTGCCATATTAGCTGTGTTTATGTTCATAATGTTGATTTATTTGTATTCTTTTATACGTAATGTTTCTCTATTTAAATGATATTATTTGATGATGGTGTATTTTTATATTTGTTTAATGAATCTTAATACCCGTATTATAATTATTTATCATCATATATTGACCTTTGGTAAACAGAGATTGTGATAACGGCCCGAGGTTACACAAGGCTGTGTCTGATTAGCCAGCAATAAAAAGCGTTATTAATAAATTAATGTTTTATGCTGTGAAAACTAAGGGTTGTATTTACACCTAGCAGAAGCCTGGGTGATTTCGTTTTTTTTCACAGACACTGAGCACGACTTGTGCATATGGACACGGTCCCTTTCACATTTCACGTTCACCCGGTTAACTTGAGAAGAAGAAAAACGTCCAACGATTCAACTACCAGCCAAGAATTAAGATTATTATTTATTTTATTATATTTCAAATGTAAAAAATAGTATAGAAGCTGATAAACAAAAATTAGTGCTAGGGATGCAGAAGGTTGTGCATTGTAAATTTTTAAGTTTGAAAATTTCTTAAGGTATTAGGATTGTGTTATTAATAATTATTGAGTAAGAAAAAATTGATTTTCATCGAGAAAATATCGAATGTGGGTGTCTCATTTTTATACGTAACAACGAACCGTGAATAATCAGGGCGAGGTGTTCAACCTCAGTACAATACATGTTTGTCATGATGCTCACGATATAAAAGTTATAGAGGCACAAAAGCTTTTTCTCTCATTGTCCCCGTCTGGCTGCTTCATTTTCCATATACTTGTACCCAAGATTGTGATATTACGCCGGGTGGTAAACCCGGGGGAAAACTGACAACAAGAGCGAGACCGTTTTTATAAAGCATTTGTATGTTTTTGGGCAGGATATACCAATAATTTTGCGTGGACAATTTTTTGTCATCGATTTCTCGTTTACCGTGGAGTGGGCGTGAGTTTGGTTAGCTTGAGAATAGGTTAGGGGTAAGTTTGGTGTTAAGTACTGGTTAGGTTAGTGTTAGGGATTTGTTAGCTTAGGTTAGAAATAGGTTAGGTAGAGTAAGGAGTAAGTTAGGTTAAGATAAGTAGGGTTAGTGTTAGGATAGGTTAGGTAGGTTACATGTCCACAATTTAATGTTTTTCCATTAAGCGGAGAAAATATGCGATTGAGAAGAGAATTTTCCATTAAAGTCTTGCACAAAATAAAAACGTGTTTCCTGCAACTGTCACCTTTCTACCTGATTTGATTTTTTTTGCAGATTGCGTTTTTGACATACGTTTTTTAAGTGTTAGGGATTTGTTAGCTTAGGTGAGGAAAAATTATTCAAAGATGTTCAACAATAGATAGTTCGATCTATAAGATATTGAATAATTGAAATAGTGAAAGCTTCTATCCTTTTTAATTGCGAAATTGCCCTGAACAGTTTAAGGAGTCGTTGAACTGTTTGACAGGATGATCAGACCTGATCATCTGCGGTCCGCTTGTTCTAGTTTCAGAACTGATTACGACCCGGAAAATATAACTTTGTGTGAGTTTGTGGTGTCTTTTTTTTCGGGCGCGTTTGTGTGTTAGCGCTGGAGAACGGGCTTAAACGGAGAAACGCAATGATTTCGAATTTTCAATTTAAGCATTATGAACGGAGAGAAATCGGCACAATAGGCGCGAACGTAAATCGCTTCGAGGGAGTGATGGACGTAGAAATTCCCATCAGAAAGGTCAAAAACACCCCCCCCCCCCAGGTGAAATAAAAAAACGGATGTCAAAAACGCAATCTGCAAAAAGTCAAATCACGTAGAAGGGTGACAGTTGCAGGAAACACAGTTTTACTCTGTGCAAGACTTTAATGGAAAACTTTCTTCTCAATCGCATATTTTCTCCGCTTAATGGAAAAACATTACATTGTAGATATGTAACCTAACTCGTATATAATCCTACCTATCCTAACACTAACCCTACTTAGCCTAACCTAACTTACTCCTTACCTTACCTAACCTATTTCTAACCTAAGCTAACAAATCTCTAACACTTAAAAAACGTATGTTATAAACGCAATCTGCAAAAAAAATCAAATCAAGTAGAAGGGTGACAGTTGCAGGAAACACAGTTTTATTCTGTGCAAGACTTTAATGGAAAACTTTCTTCTCAATCGCATATTTTCTCCGCTTAATGGAAAAAAATTAAATTGTGGATAGTAACCTAACTCGTATATAATCCTACCTAACCTATCCTAACACTAACCTTACTTATCTTAACCTAACTTACTCCTTCCCTACCTAACTATTTCTAACCTAAGCTAACAAATCCCTAACACTTAAAAAACGTATGTCAAAAAAGCAATCTGCAAAAAAAAAATTAAATCAGGTAGAAAGATGACAGTTGCAGGAAACGCGGTTTTATTCTGTGCAAGACTTTAATGGAAAATTCTCTTATCAATCGCATATTTTCTAAAACTTTTTCATTTCAACCAATAACTTGCATAAAGATTAATTAATTAATTGAAAGAAGTTATTTGGTCAATTGGACCACGAAATATAATGGATGTAATAATTAAAATTCGCTGCCTTGACATTATTGTTTTTAACAATTTTTTTAAATTGTAATATATTAATTGGTCAATAATGGCCACGAAATTAGTGAATTGTTTTTAACTTGCCAAACATTTTCACGATAAATGTATATAATTTCTATTACAAAACTAAAAATAGCATGTAGGCTAAGCTAATTAAATTGAGTATTGTATTTTTCCTTGGAAATTAAATTAAACCACCAGTTTTTATTCCTTCATTAAATAAGGACAGTTCTCGAGATTTATAATTATAATAATGCGAACTCACACATTTGTTGATGAATGAAGTTGATCAATATTTTGATGCATTTTTTCTTTATTAATATAATTAATTATTTTTACAATAAGGTTACGTGCAGAATGAATAACTTGGTATATTTTCCAGTATATACTTAATAAGTTGTAACATGAGTTTTTGTTTTTTCAAAAGTACAATGTTCAGACGGAAAACTATGTAAAACTTCATTTTACATTATCTTCTTCTTGACATTTTAAAGTTAAATTTAGGCAGTTTATTTGAGGGGTTTGTTCTAGATTTGTTTCTCCAATATTTTTTTTTTTTGAAATATAACAGCCTTGGCTTGTGGGAGGCAGACGGTCGTCTGTGAACCGAGTTTGTTCATAACAGCCTTGAATTAAACATAAACCGACTACGTTTTAAATCTTAATACACGCCTTTTTATAACAAAATAGAAAAGACCGTATCGATGGTGACCGTATCAAGCGAAATTTTGCGCAATTTTTTTTTTTATCATGGCGATAACGTACAATCATTCTAGATAAGTCGGAACCGTCGGATTTTCGCCTTTGTTGCAAAAATTTGATAGAAAAAATAACAAGATCTG